TAACCTTAATCAGATAATGTCTCCTCAAGAAATCAAAAAGAGGAAAAGTAAAATTACTGGTTATGATTGGTTGGTTTAAAGCATTTAAGAAAAAATTTTAAATATATTTTTATTATGGGTAAACTACATAAAACCAAATTTTATTCAAATAACAACTCTTTCTCTTCGCTGGTCCAAAAATACCTAAAAATGGGCCAGCGAACGCGAGTATACACAATTTTCTTTGTTACGACCTATTCAAAATTAAGAGTTGCTTGTATATATTATAAATATATAAAAAAGACTGTGAATATTATCAAGTGAATTGTATTTTTTAATACTTTATTTATAAACCCACAAATTTATTCAAAGTATTTTAAATATATTTGATTTTTTTATAAACTAATAAAATGGATTTACATTCTTTGTTTGTATAAAAATGTAATAAAGTGGTGATCAGATATAATTTATTAGTGTAAAGATTTTATAAATCTTAATGAAGTAGAAATATTAGTATGGTAGTTTTAATTGGTAGATTTAAATATATACAGATTCGAATATTAAACTTAAAAAGAAATATTAAATAAATGCACTAACTCATCATGTATTTTAATAAAAATAAAAATAAATCTCTAAAACACAGCAATTAGTCTCTTAAAATTTTTTTATTTAAATTTTGATAATTTAATCTCTTTCATTTAAAATAAACCACTTTACACATAAATAAGGGAACTAAATTATGTGTTAATTTTATTGATACTAAATAATTTACTTATGTAATACTTAAACTATGAATCTCCAAAGATGTCATACAGATTTTTAAAAAAATATGTTTTGTATCAGAATTTAATATTTCTCCTTTATTTATAAAATTTTTACTTGACTTGTTGATTAATTGGTATAAATTACTGCGCATATATAATTCATATATTTTATATAGCAATAAAAATACATGTAATTCTTTATTTTGTTATAAATTAATTTTTAAGCCATGTTTTATCGTTAAATACTTTAAGTAAACAAAACCTACTAATAAAATTTAACATAAACATATTTTTGTTATGTTTTTAAATATAAAGAAATACCTGCAATCAAAGAAACATCTTTTTCTTACCGTTAAAAATATTATATTGCCACGAATTCCAAGTCTTGACCTATCTTAAGGTCTTTAAATCTGTA